CTCCGCCGCTGAGCCCCGACTAAGCTTGAGATGCTGGCGTCTGGGTGCCCAACCGCCCCTGTCCCTGTCGCCGCGGAGGAATGGGGGTGTCCTGAGGTCTTGGACAGAGAAGCGCCTGTTCAGAGTAGAAGAAAAACCGTAACCCTGGAGCTGTCATGTGTGTGGGGTGGGTGACCCTGAAAGAGCATCCTGTTAACGCCCTGGCTCAGCCTTGCCGGGGCGGGGCCCATGGGAAGCGTCCAGGTCTTGCCCACTGCAGGTGCCCATGTTTGACTCATTGCAATTTGACTTGGCATTTTTAACCTCACCTCCCATGTGAGACCCCGAACTCTCCCAAACCACTGCTTTTTTCATCTTGATGGCTCCCACAGTGCCTGCCTGTCAGAGCCTGTTTGCTAAGTGATTGAGAAGCTGCCATACCCAAAACATTAGTCACCAGCCCCACTTCACTGGCTCAGTCCCAACAGCAATTTCCAGATTAATTTGTTTTTATTTGTTTTTAAGTCCAGAACTTCTCCTACATCTTTAGATTGCTCTTAAAAAAAAAAAAAAAAACACTTAAGGCAGCCTCCATGCCCATCTGGATGATGTAAGTGATGTAAGGAGGCTTTCAAGGCAGATATGCAAAGTGATGGACACACCTGCCCTGGACGTCTGTGCACCACCTGATTTCCAGATCAGGCAGCTGCTGGCCACCCCAGGAAACACAAGAGGCACCTGGTTGCTCTCCAAGGAAAGGTTAAAATGCAGTGCAAATGCACAGTGTGCTTATAAGCAAAAGTGTCTTAGAGTTTGCTGCAGCTCAAAAGAAATGTCCCAAACGTCATGGGGAAGAGAAGAGCTAGGGCTGGCCAGGCACTGAGTCAGGAAGGAACTGGATGGTTAATTCCATCTAGGTGGGTTCTGGCAAACTCTCTGGGGGTCTCTTCCCCACTTTCCATTCTCCACGGGCGAACTTCATGGAGGAAGGGTGGAAAGGGGGTTCAAACATCCAGCATTCCATATCTGAGTCATTTACTCATTTAATAAATATTTCTTGAGTGCCTACTTTGGCCAGGAGCGCTTTCAGGCCTAGTCAGTGAGTAAGTCTCCCCTTGCCCCAATGTGTGTCACGGAGAGGGTGCTTCTGTTCTGCCTTGATTGTGGATGGTGATGAATGCGTGGGAGAGAGGAAGGGAGAAAGCTCCCAGGGAAAAAGGAGGCCTGGAGGGGAAGCCAGAAAGCTGGGATGGTGTTGGGGGGCCTACTTGAAGGGTTTATCCTAGAATTCATGTTATCTGGTCCTTTCTGGTCTTTTCTTGGGGGGGGAGGAGGTCCACGTGCTGCGATTGCCATTATAGAGCTTGTCCCTGTCAGTTCTGTGTATATCTAGAACTCATGTTATCTGGTCCTTTCTGATCTTTTCGGGGGGGGGGGTCCACGTACTGCGATTGCCATTATAGAGCTTGGCCCTGTCAGTTCTGGTATATGAGGTCATGCTATTTCCCGGGAATCCAGAACCCAGGAAAGGAGAGAGCCCCCCTCGCGGTCCGCAGTGTGACAGCCCACTGTAGATAGGTGGGTGCTGCCCCCTGGTGGTGGTATGAGACATTGCTCCAGATCGCCCCTTTGGCTCTGCGCAGTGGTTGTCAATGAGGAGCTGATTCTGGGTTCCTTTTCAATTCCAAAGCCACAAGTGTCCCTCTCATTCTAACTCTCACATCTAGGACTCTGCACTCTCTCTCGCTCTCTTTTTCGTTCCACAAAGACCTTAATAAGCGACAGGTTTAAGCAAAACCATGAATAGGTCATAGTTGGGACTTCCTAGTTTTGCAAGCTTTTCCCTCCTCAATCACCATTCCTGGAAATCACAATTTCCAGGGAGTGTTGATTTCTTCAGGTAAACACATCTGTTTGGGAGCCAGTTCACACTGGTGCATCGGCCACGGCAGGTTTCCTATAATAAAAACGTGGCAAAAGAATAGGAAAATAGGACGATGTGTGATCCCAGAGTGACACTGATGGGGAGCTCCAAGCAGTAGTTATCTTTCTTGAACCCTCTAATAGGCCCTTGCTACCTGAGGGCTGAGGCTGACCCCACCTGTGGGCAGCTTGAGACTCTGACATCAAAGCCATAGATAGAACTTGCCACGCTAGGGGCTTGGTATAGAGCTCAGCCACTTTGGGGTGACAGGAGTCATTCAACTTTTTCTACCACTACCGTTCTTGCATTCTACTTGTTCTGAGGGGCCCCAGGTATAGGTGATGCCCTGGGGCATCCCCTCCACGCCCTTTGGCTTTCCAGCGCCCATCAGGCACCAGCCCTTCCTTCTCAGGTCCAGAAAGGAAGAACCAGCATCTTTCCCTAGCCTGCGCTGCTCCCCAAACCCACTGAATTGTGAGAGAGAAAGGACATTGCCCTTCCCAAGGGGAAGCTGGAAGCCTCCTCTCCCTTGGTTCTCTCCTGCTTCCCACCCCCAAGCAGCCTGCAGAAGCTTGCAGGTTCCAAATCTTAAAGCTGAAAACCTTCCAAGGAGGTCTGTGGAGAGAACCCATCCACCTGGCCTTTTGATGTGAGCTAGATGGTGCTGCCCAAGCTGAGTCAGGGCTGAGTGGCTGTGAAAATTCTAGTCAATGCGAATTTGGGATTCTGAGGAACCCCGATGATGGCCTTCAATGGTCCAGCTCTTAGAGGGAAGGAACCAGAAGGCTGCAGGCCACAGCTCAGGCCTGGCTAGGACCAGAACCTCACCAAGCATGGACTTGGCATCACCAGGCTGGGAGGGCCTGGGAGCCCGCTCACAGGCATAATTCTCCTTGACAGATCTCAGGGATAAGGAGAAGCATTGGGCCCTGGCAGGCAGAGCTGGGGCTGGGGTGTGGTCAGGGACAGAGAATGCCATCAGGGCCACGTGTCTGCATGCTGAACTGTGTCCAGAGGAAGCAGAGGCCTGGCACCAGCTAAGTGGACCCCATAGTCCTCCTTGCTCAGGGCCCCTGGTTAGGGACCCCAGCCTGGGGCCAGAGACATGAATGTGCTCACTCGCGATAGCTCAGGGCGCAGCTGGCAAGACTCCTGGGCATTCAGCATTTCTCCATCTAGAAAGTACAGATTGCTAAATTCCAGCAAAACTGGTTCATTCCATTATAGTAGTTCATTAGTCCTGCTGGGGCCGTCCCCTCCAGCAGTGTCCTGGGGACAGGGAAGCAGTCGTCTGCAGAGGCGGGCCAAACGCTGGCTCCTCTGGTGTTCACACCGCCCACAGAGCCTTGCTTGCATGGGTCAGCCCTGGATTTGCGGACAGAGGCCGGAGCTGGCCTGCCCTGACCCAGGGAGCCACAGGGTGGATCACTGCCCCTCAGCTGGCACCGAGGCTGCCACGAAGTAACTTAATAATATTGTGTTTGTTCTTGAGCGACAGATGTAGTCTTTGCCTAATTTCTTGGGTTCTTTCCACCTAAGAAGCTGTGAGCAGTGTGCCGGGCCCCGCTGGGTAGGCAGCGGCCAGGACATGCCAAGACAGATGTGACCGTCTCTGCAAGGCAGGAAACCCTGCCCGGTGCCTGTGTGTGTGTCCCGGAGCTGAGCACAAACCCACACACTCAACATTCGATTCCACCTGGATGCTGAGACTAACAGCAGTGGTGATAGCAAGGGGGGAGGGGGAAAGGTGGGAGAGGGAGGCGCCTCCCTGTCTGTACCTCTCTGTGACGGAGAGCACCCTGGACTGGAGGCCAGAAACCCCCGCGGGAATTCTGGCTAACCAGCTTCCCTGCTCCAGGACCTCAGCTTCCCTGCTGTTCCAGTTGCTCAGATAATCACTAACGTCCTGTTCCGGTTACCATCACGCTGAGCTGGGGGCCCAGTAACCCCTCAAATTTAGTGGTATATATATCCAACAGTCATTGTATCTCACTCATGTCTTGGGAGTCAGGAATTAGGTAGGACTCAGCTGGGCAGGTCTGGCCTAGGGTACCTCATGCAGTGGCAGTCAGCATACCTGTTCCAGGCCTCAGTCTCAGCTGAGTCCTCCAGGAGTCAGCTCCCATGCACGTGCCAGCAACTGAAGATCCCCACACCTTATGTGGGCAACCTCAAAATGGTTGGCCCCGATGGTCCTACAAGTGAGAGCTGTGTGCCCTCCTCTTCAATTCCCCACAGTGAAGTGACACTGGGCCATAAGGCCTGGGCCCAGGCCTTAAGAACTGGCGGTTCCCACTTCCTGTCTCCTGAGCTGCTCTCTCTGGGCCTGGCTCTTAGCTGAGCTGTGGGGTGAGTGGTCTGGCCGTTGGAGATGAGCCGTATGGGAGACAGCTGTAGGTGCTTCTCTGGCAAACAGCCCCTGTTGAGCCCAGACCCTTCTCACTGAGATCGGTCATTAAGCTGCCAGAAGAGTTGCCCAGACCATTCCTGAGTTCTTCACCTACACAACCCTGAGGTATCATAAAATGCTGGTTTTAAGCAATCAAGCCTGGGTATGACACAGCAATGTGCATTATCTCATTCAACCCAGTCATTCCAGTCACCTACTCTACAGACTAGGAAATTGAAGCTCAGGGGGAGTAAGGCCTGTGCAAAAGGTCTCCCAGGAAGCAGGAGGCCTAAGTGGCATTTGAACTTGAACTTGGGGAATCTGATCCCATACCTCCCAGACCCTGGAAAGGTTGCTACTTACTGAGTCTCCCTAAGCAGGAGGGAAGCGGAAGGCTGACGTTTCAGCCAACATTACCTTCAACTAAATGACTGAAGGCGTTTCTAAGAAGTGACATTTCCAGCTACTCCCCTATTTGAGGGGGGAGTTGAGGAATCTGGAGGGTGGGAGAAGAGGGTTTCCCTTCAGAAAAACTCAGGACCACAGCAGGGCAGCTGATTTTCTTATCTTTGTTTGCCCACAAAGATGACCAGCATGGAACCGGTTCATGATGGGCACTTAATGTTTGTTCAAGAGACAAACTCATCCTCAAAGGAAAAGGTGATGGAGTTGGAGGAAGTGGACCTGGATCTGGAGAAAGGCTCCTCTGCCATCTAGTGGCTATTCCTGGAACAACACTTCTCTATGGCCCAAGAAAATGGAAGGTTTCCTTAAGGACCTTGACTGTCTGTTTCTGAGGTCAAGCAGTTTCCATCCAGGCTGGCGGAGTGGGGTGGCGGTGGGTCCTCCCTGAGAAGCCAGACTTCTTGCCTCTTGCAATATCTGTGCTCCTGAAGGCTGAAGCAGGAAGTGTTTCCCCCACAGCAGCTTACTCCGAGGCTTCAGTAGGTATTAATACTTGGGGTTGAAGTTTGAGACAAATAGGTAATGTAGAACCCTTTATTTCATCTTTAACTTCTACGGAAGCTTGCAAGAGAGACAGTCGCCTTGAAGAGAGGGGCCACTCCCTCAGAACTTCTCACCCTCCTAGTCCCTACCTACCCCTCCTCACAGAGCTGGCAGGGATGGCTCTTCCAGGCAGCGAAGCACAGCAAGAATTCCCCACAAAGCCCTCTAAGTGGGCACCAAAACAGTCCTCCTTTTCCTTACCTGGAAAAGCCTGGAAACAAGCTGTCACCCTCAGAGAGCTGATGAAGAGCTCACACAAGGTTAGATGTGTGAAATATAGCAGGTCCTCAAGTAATGTCTTTCCTTAGAATGTGGAGGAAGGAAATCATGTAAGGACCTGACTTGGTTACTTGTCATTCTGCTCTATGCCAGTTTTCAAGAACCTTTTAACAGTGTTAGGTGAGGACTTCCTCCACTTGGCACTCAGCAAGGTCCATGACAAGCCTGTGAGTTGTTCAAGTTCTAGAGAGAGTCCTGGAAAAGTAAACCCTCTCCCTCCTCCGCCTCTCCCCCTCACCCCATTCCCAGCTGGTCAGCACTCACAGCAGCCACCCACAGAGCTTCCCCCTAAATCACTCTCAGGCCCCTGGCTACTCAGCCTCTCCCTGATCCCGAGACAGGTCAGAAAGGCAAGAGGTCTTTGGTAAGAACAGACACTTTATTGTACACCATGGGGAGGGAGGTATAGACAGGAAAGAGGGGCTTTGGGGTGACGATGCTCTGCCCCCTCCCCTGGGCTGAGTGATCTGACCAGGCCTCTGACCAGCCATGGGGCATATGGACTTTAGTTGTTCTGAATTTGTGCCAGGACCTGAAGTGATGCCTGCCAGGTGTGCTTGGGACTGTACAAAGCAGTGCTTGGCATGAGAAGGGGCCTGGCCCTCCTCCCCAACCTGTCTCCTGGCCTCCGTGAAGAGCAGCAGGCCTCGCGTTCCACGGCCTAGCAGATGCTCGGGGGATCGCGCGTGTTCCAACCTGTTCGGTCGCTCTTCTCTTCCCCGCGGAGGGGAGCAGCCTGGGGGTGCTTGCGAGGGCAGAGGGGCAGCCCCCTGCCTGTAATACTGCCAGCTTGCTCGTGGCCTGGACTCCGTCCAGCCTCAGCCTTGCGGTTTGGCAGGTTGACGTGGGAGGGCTTCTCCTGGCACTAGAAAGCAGCAGTCCCTACAGATGTATTGCTGGAGGGCAGAGCCAACCTTGCTGGCATCACTTGGGTGCCCACCTGCTCATCCCCATCTGGGCCTCGAGCTTCATGTTGCCTCAGTGGAGAGGGCTGAAGGCTCCCTGAGCCGGAAGCTGGTAAGTGAGGCTGGCAGGCTGGCAGGAGCAGGGAGGCATGCCCCAGCCTGGCCCTGGAGTCCACTCTGTCTCCTGTGGGCACTGGAAGGACAGCACCACAGCCTGGGAGTGGGGGACCCTGCGGGGGAACGCGGGGCTGCCCCTCCTCGACCCAGGGAACCTGAGGCCAGGGCTTACCTGGGCCTGTTGGCCTCACCCCAATTGCAGCTCCCCAGCAGAGTGAGCAGAGCCGGGGAGGGGCAGCTGTCCCCTCTGCCAGGACCATCTCAAGGACAAACACAGGGCAGAGGAACCACTGAGATTTTCTTCCGGATGAAGAGCTTGCAACTCCAATGGGAACACAGTAAGAGGTTGGCTGGAAGATGAACTGGAGGCTTTTCCCCAGGGTCCCGCCTTCCTGGTTTCTGGCAAGTTCGCTGGGGTGAGGACAGTGAGTCACCAGCCCAAAATGTCCTTTCCCGGTAGCAGGGGGCTTCCCGGGGGACCCTGCCCTGAGGCCTCTCTGACAGAACTGAGGGGGGAAGGGGGCAGGACAGGGAGGGCAGCATGGTCTTCAGGAACGGGGTGGACACTGGAAATCACAGATCAGCACCCCCACGCACCCACGCCCACGGTGGTACACACAGCACACACGCGTGCCCACACACACACACACACACACTCACTCACAGAGTTCTGGGCCCTACAGCTAACAGCAGAGACACAGCCAGGCAGGACCTGCCTCCAGCAGAGGCTGGAACGCTGCGAGCCACGGGATGAAGCAGGCTGCCCAGCTCAGCCCCCCGTCCCAGGCCGGCGGGCTGGGGCCACACGCTACAAAATTAAAAATATATCAAATATACAATGAAAATAGATCTGTACAGCACTGAGGATGAAAATAGCCCACCAGTCACAGTATAATATTGGGTTTGTCATTTAACAGCATTTACACCCACATGTACAGATTGAATATACAATAGAAATAGAATATATAGAAGAGTATCTATAGTAGGTGTCTCTCCTGGGCCTGGCTTTTCCTGTTGCTAATTCTGCTCGGGATCAGGCACCAGGCCAGGTGGGGGGTGTTGTCAGGTGAGAGGGCTAAGGCGGATGTTGTGCCCCAAAGCTCCAGTCTTTGGGGAGACGTGGGTCTCCGTCTCCCCTCGCACACTCAGGAGGACAGATGGGGCTGAGAGGACTGGGGATGGGAGGTGTGCGGGAAGGAATGAGTAAGGACAAAGTGGGGCGGAGGCTGGAGCCCCGCAGGGGGAGCCCCGGGCCTAGTCTGTTGCTCCTAGAGCTGAGAGATCAAGGACAAGAGTGACTCAGGACACTCCATGAGAGGCCTAGCTAGTGCAGTGACCTGTTCCGCCCCCACATCAGGGCTCGCCAAGATGGAGGCTGCAGTCCCAACAGCCTCCCTCCCTCCCTGCCTTCCTTCCTCCCATCAGCCCATGCATCCCGCCACCAGTCCATCCATTTTCCCATCAGCCAATGCTCCTCCCATCAGCCCACCCACCCTCCCGTCACTCCATCCACCCTCCTGTCGCTCCAAGCATCCTCTCATCACTCCATCCATCCTCCCTGGCTCCATCCACCCTCCCGTAGCTCCATCCATCCTCCCATCACTCCATCTCTCCTCCTGTGGCTTCATCCACCCTCCTGTCACTCCAAGCATCCTCTCGTCACTCCATCCATCCTCCCTTGCTCCATCCATCCTCCCGTGTCTCCATCCCTCCTCCCGTCACTCCATCCCTTCTCCCATGGCTCCATCTACCCTCCTGTGGTTCCATCCCTCCTCCTGTGGCTCCATCCACCCTCCTGCGGCTCCATCCATCCTCCCATCGCTCCATCCCTCCTCCATGGCTCCATCTACCCTCCCGTGGCTCCATCCCTCCTCCTGTGGCTCCATCCCTCCTCCCGTGGCTCCATCCACCTTCCCGTGGCTCCATCCTTCCTCCCTTGCTCCATCTATCCTCCCGTGACTCCACCCACCCTCCCTTGCTCCATCCCTCCTCTCATGGCTCCATCTACCCTCCCGTGGCTCCATCCCTCTGCCTGTGTCTCCATCCACCCTCCCTTGCTCCATCCTTCCTCCCGTGGCTCCATCCACCCTCCCTTGCTCCATCCATCCTCCCTTGCTCCATCCGTCCTCCCGTGGCTCCATCCACCCTCCCGTGGCTCCACCCACCCTCCCTTGCTCC